CTCCAACAAGGTTAAGAACCACTGACTTAGATGGTGCTTTTTTCTCACTTTGGGCACTCCTCACACATAAACAGGTTTGGGTTTTTTTTTGTCTATGCATGACATAAACACACGCTGATGAATGCATCTTGCCTATACTTCGGCATGCAGACTGGGTGAACCAGGAATCTTCCGATTAATAGCCAACCTGCTATTTTCACACCACCCGGTATTCCCGGGTGGTCTCCCATCCAAGTCCTATCCAGGGACAACCCTGCTTAGCTTCTGAGATCAGATGAGAATGATGTATGGCTGTAAGCGCTGACAGGGTAAACCTCTCTGTGCTGTAACATCCTAAGCTGCCTGAGAGAACATTCAGTTCATTACATTATTATGACACCTTTTTTTGACCTGCACAGCTCGCTTTACATCACTGTGATTTCATCTGCTTCCCAAAAGTAAAGATCAAGTTGAAGAATTCTGGCACATTGAAGGAGGCATAGTGCTAAGACACAAGTACATGAAACGACGTACACTGACGCACTAGGAATGGTCCAGAGATGCATAAGAAGGCCATTCAACAGCGGGAGAAATGCCTTTGTATACCATTCCAATCATTTATGCCAATTCAAACATGGTTAAAGTTTAAAATAGAGAAGATATCCTTGCTATCCTCATCTTGGCCACACGGCTCCATCTGTGAGCACAGAAGTCCCACCTACCTGCTGTTCAAGCCTTGTGGTTACAATGGGCAGCCAATCAGAAGAAAGTTGTTTTTAAAGTGACGATGACCTGAGCTGAAGAGCTAAAACTGTTTATTTCAGACAGAGGATGAACTGAGGGGCAGCATCAAGGCCCAGGAAATGATAAATAAGGTCAGAATCTGAACTGTGAATCAGTAAAAGCTCTTCTAGTAGACCTCACTAAAGTCCGTTTTTATGTTACTGTCACATTATTAGGACTATACTGAGCAGAGGACATCAAGCTCATAATTTATGTGCAACTACTTTTATTAATAAGCAGTAATTATGAGGTTATTGAGCAGAAAATTCTCAGTTGAAGTAGAGCATGGTCAGGTTTTGTAATTGCTCGCAAACAGCTAATTTACTACTAATAAAGAGGTTAATTGGCAACTTGTTTATGGTGAACATGTGCTCAGTAATGTAAACTATTGCTGTGGCTGTGTAGTTGTTAGCACACAGGTCCAGGGTTTGAATCCACTGGCTGGGGCCTTTCTGAGTGGAGTTTGCATGTTCTCCGTGTGCCTCAGTAGCTTCTCATGAAACACCCACATTTCCAGCCAGAGTCCAAAGATATGTATGAGGTTATAATTGGTCATTATGTCATTATGTGAATGGTGTTTCTAGATGATATAGTGGCAAACTGTCCAGGGTATGCCCCACCTTTGGCCTTTTAAGGGTAGGTTCCCTCCACCAATACAATGCCTGCTACAGCTTTAGTGCCTGACTGCTTCATGGAAATGAGCT